GTAAAAATAGTTGAAAATATTCCAAATAATTGATGAAGAGAAGACAAAAATATAAAAATAATACTTTAGTTAAAATGCTGTTAAAATAAAACCACGAAGTATATCAACAAAGACTATGATGGTGAGTCAGATTAAAGCAATCTAAAAATGTTCAATTCCTCATCTTAGAGGGAAAAGCGCATTTTAAAATTCTGGATTTGATTATTGGAGCATGTTTTACAGTTGAAAGTATTTACCAATGGAACAAATAATAAAATAAATTTCAAATAAAAAGATAAAAATAAAACCAAGCAATGCAAATAGTACATATGCAAAACAAGAAACTGAATAAAAATAAGTAACTAAATAAAAGCTGAAGAAATACATAAACCAAATATTTTAATGTTATATTATAACATTATATATAATGCTATATTTTAAAAGCAGGATAGAAAAAATAAATTTAAGCATGTTTCTAAAAGAATCAAAGAAAATTTTCTAAAATAACTAGTTCTCTCTAGATTTTTTAAATTAGTGACACATTTTTCTTTCTTCTTTATTTTCTAAGTTCTAAAATTATTGTATTTTTTAAATAAAAATAAGCAATATAGGTAATGACAAAAGAGTGGAAACGAAACATTGGCTTCCTGTAATGCCACTTCCTATAAAGGAAAAGCAAGTGGGGAGAGATATGATGATTTTACATTAAGGAATAAAAATTAAGGATGAATTACCATTTGAATAAGTGTAGTGATATCTGATATTCTAAGCCAGAGAAGCTAAATGTAATTGAATTTCAGGTAAAATAAGAGAATTGCTATCTTCACAATTAATGAGTCACCAAAACCAGTGCGTGTGTGTGTGTGTGTGTATTGCTATTGTTGTTGTTGTTGTTGTTGTTGTTGTTGTGTGTTGATACAGATTTCCACAAACATACCATTGACACTTGTAGACTGCAGGGATGGATATTACTCCCATTTGGAACCTCATTATCCAGTTATTTTCTTCCTACCTAACTTTTGACATTTTCATTGAAAAATGTATCTCATCAGTCAAGTCACTCTAAACTTTAACTCCGTATATTTTTTAAGTATCTTCATAAACAGCCTTATGTTTCAAGCTTCTATATTCTCAACTATATTTCACAGTTTGTTCTGTGTGTGAAAAATAATTTCTCAGCTTTACTGTTTATATTACCTGAATAAGATGCGTATGGTTTTCATTATCGAAATTATATTGTGAAAGGCTCAAACACATATTATTGGCTTGCCAACCCTCTACAGCATAAATAATCTGGAAAATAAGTTTCATCAGGAGACTTATAATTTATGTATTAAAACTGCAGAAGAAACTACAGCTGAAAAATTATCTTGGAGTGAACAAATGACTAAAGTATCAGGATTGCATTGCTTAAGTTTACTGATATCTTACAAACCCCATGCTAAAGAAGCAGACTGTCAGAAAGAATGAACACATTTTAAGCATAGAATTGATCAAATAGGCTATCTTTAATACTATTTTTTAAAAAAATTTTGATCACTTTGGATACAAACAAATGCTGGGATTCATTGGATACTATCTATTTTTTCAGAATAAATTGCAGTCACTTAAGTATTATATCTACTAGAGAAAAGTTAAACCAGAGAACTCTTTCATTTATTTCTCTTTTTTTAGACTAGCATGAAATGAAGTAACATATTCCTGGGTCTTTGGATATGATGACATCAAAACTAAATGTTTTTCTGAATAAAACTGTTTACATATATTTTTAATTATTTTTATCTTTTTCTGGATGCATTAATTTTCTGGATATGTTAACAATAGATTTGGTAGCAGAATTGAAAAGTGAACTATTTTTTTCTCTTTTTGTTGTTTTTCCCATATTCAAAATGTATGGAAAAAAATATTTTTGTGTGTGTTATATTACCCAGTTGTCATCTTCACAAAGAAGTGCTCAAGCCTCTTTTTTTCATACAAGTTACAACCCAAGGCTTCCTATTTAAATATTGACTCTAATCTACATTACATTTAAATATTCCACCTAATGTTGAGAAAGTCTTCATGAAATAAACTGACAATAACTAGAATGGAGCATAAAGTGATGAAAACTGCGTTCATAAAGTGGCTAGTGTCATAGTGTGGAATTAACCCCTGGTCATTCTCAAAAGGTGAAAACATTCACAGACTTTACAAAGGAAGTTTTTATCAAAGTGAGGAAAAGAGAAAATGCCCATGGCAGTGTCCAAAGATGATGGCTGCCTCGGGTAGTAAAGAGAGAAACACTGGTGGGGGCAGGGGCTGGCCATTGTAGAACCCAGAGTCTGAGAATGGACAGCTGCAGAGGCAGAGGGTAAGACAGAAACACTGGCAAACTCCTTTGCCAGGGCAGAGCCTGATAGGCAGCTGCCCCTAACTTCAGGTTAGCTTTTTCTTATATAGGAAAGGGGGAGTCAGTTAGGCAGGTTTAGGGGCTGACATCCTTCCTGGAGTCTAGACTGTTTGAAGACGATGCTATCTCAGGACTCCGGACTTGTACTCAGCCATTGAGGCCTAAGACTTTAATGCATTACCAGTAATACTACAAGGGAGTTGTAAATTGGATTCCAGTGTCTGGGTGCCTGAGGATTAAGAAATTGCTCTTTCCCAGGTTAGGATGTTGTTAATTAACAAGATACGGGTAACCTTGAGAAACGGAACAAGCAGAGTTCTTCAGTTAATCAGTGAGGGGAAAAGAAACAAGAAAACACGTGAATATCAGGATGGATCGAACTGCAAACAAACTAAGTCTAATTACAGGTCACTAGATAGCAAGCTATGTGGAGAGTTAAACTGCAAACTAGCTAAGTCTGACTGTATTACTAATTCCCTGAATTTCACCCTTACAGCTAGCTATGTTTTTTCTCAACACTGTGGAATACTTATTCTTTTACACTTTAATCTTTTAAGTAAAACTACATGAAAAAGTTGAATCTGTAAATAGTAATCGTAGTTTTAGAGAGAAGTAAGATTTCACATCTAGAGTATTGGTGTGAAGATATAGAGATGAGAGAGGATAAAGGAAAATTAGCAATATATATTTTTTCTATTTCTTTCATTACAAATACCAATATTCCCTGTTCTGGATTTGCAAATTTTGTGCAATTAGCATACTATACTAGTTCATTTATAATAGCCATAAGATACATTGAGTGTTGAACTTCTTATCTGAGTCTTTATGAAACTGGAAAGTAACATTTCTACAAGAAAGGTGTCAGCTTAAATCTCAACCTCAAGAACAAACAAAACAAGCATATAATCTAGCACAAATAAAAAGTAAAACAGGATCACCGATAACATCAAAATGTCCACAAATAAAATACAATTACATAAATGAAAATGGCCCAATTTGTGCAAAACTGTACCAGTTTCTAAATGAAAGGTTTTCCCTCAGTAATGACTTTTGTTTTTACTACATAGGTACTTTACTAATACAAAATTTCTAAAACTATAACTAAGGCATCATCAACATTAAAGAATTAAAAGAAAAATTTGAGAAGGCCACAATTTTGTTTTGGGGGAGGGGCTTTTTTTTGGTCTCAGCTTTTCCAGCTAACTGTCATTTAATAGTGGACAGAACACAGCAGATCAGCAGTTCATTACAAGAGCAAACTTCTCCAGAAGACATTTGTCAATGTCTGTAGGTGGTTTTAGATGTTGCAGTGCTCGGTGGTGCTAGTAGTAACTAACGGACAGAGTTCAGGGATCCCACTAAGTACTACCCTGTAAAGAACATCAACAATTTACCTGGCCCCCAAGTACCAAGAGGTTGAAAAGCCCTGCTTTGGATAACAAGGCATTTGGGTAAGGAGAAGAGTTTACCTGGAAATTTCCATTTTTAGAAAATATGTCCATCAAAGTTGAAAGGAGTATTTTAGGAAATATTTTGATTGCGGCATTTATAAAAGATGGTCACTGTGGAGAATTATACACCTGAATTTCTAGCATGTACAAGAAAAGTGAAATTGAAATAGAAGGAGCTAGAATAACAGAGATAGAGTAAATTAAGTTTGACTCCTTGAAAAAATGTCTTTGTCTTGTGAAGATTAAATGCAGGGTAACTGCGAACAGAAAGACTATGGACTTGTATGTGGACTTGTGTGAACCAGTAGGAGCTGATGAAGCGTAATGTGGATATAAGGACCATGAAAATATAGATATGGCCTAAGGAGTGAAAAGCACATCCTGAGCTCTCTTGACTATGACTTTAACCAGTTCCCCAGTGAGAATACAGGACACTGATGCTAGATCCTGTCTAGTAGTTGGCTTGTTGTATGTTACATATAATTTGCTAGATATTTACACTAAGGCTAGTTGGTATCAAGAGCATTCCAATATATGGGCTCTGTTTCTTTCAAATAATAATTTCAGTTATAGCCGTAAAGCTCTGAAAGAAAAAGGCTACTTCAGATAATGTACCTCAAGGATAGATCCAGTAAATCAGACCCTGCTCCACTTGCATCCCCATTCTGACACTCCAAGTAGATATACTGAACACCATTCCACTTACAAAGTATGTCTAAACAACATCTAATGGAATCTGACTTTTCAATAACGTGCACTTTTGAGAATGGGAAGGGGCAGCGGTCTTCAGCTTATTTCAACTCAGTTGTCATAGACCGTGTCTATAACCTATCTTTTCATTGCATCATGGAGTCTATGATGAGCATCATAAGACAGGGGGAAAAGGAAAAAAAAGTTGTAAGGGACATGTTTCTGCTTAAAGTGGGGAGAAAATGCTTTCTCTTTTGTACTTTTAAAAATGATGCAGTGAAATCCAGCCTACCCCAGAGACCATGTGCTAAGGAAATAAAAATTATGTCTCATGTTTACTAAAATCGTTGTCTAGGAATATTAAACTCCATAAAGATAGGGTTTTTCTTATTTTTAAAAACTACCCAACACAAGCACTTAAATATGTAGAATTTCATTTAAATAAGTCAGTCAACAATTTTTTATAAAGTATTTAACACTTCATTGTAGAAACATAGGCAAAATGACTATTATAACCAAAATGAAAAATACTGTTCAATTTAAAAAATGTACTTAAACAAGAACCTGAAAAAGTTTATGATATGCATAACATTGTTCAAGCAAAATTGCACTAGTATTACATAAATCAATAGTTTATAAAGGCCTCAATATGGCAAAGTTTAGAAATAGGTAGTATGCATGCACATAGTACAACAAAAAGTCTCTTTATAAAACAGCAGTTTTTTTAATGCTTGTACAAAGGGATAAAGAGCAACCACAAACATATTTCATCTGTTAGGTTAATACATTATGACAGCTAAAAGTCAGTCATGTCTATCAGAGGAACAAAAAGCCCTCCATACCTTGTGAATAAATCTTTTGTGCCTTTAAAGATATTTGTATAAAAATGCTATCCTTTTTTTTATACAACTTAAATAAATCGTACTTGGTTCAATCAAAAATTGAAAACAAACAAATGAATGGGGTCCATGTGTTTTGCTTAATGAAAAAGAAACCCGAGTACCAGAGTAACTGGTCAGCATTTATACTCTCCACCTTTGATTATGGGCATAGAGTTATTTCTATAACTTGGGAAGTCCTTTCCAAATGTACTTTGGAAAGGGCAAATAATGGATTAGTCATATTGTATGTTGAAAATATTTACCAATTCCTCTTTATCAGAATGACTGGTTTGCCTCTTCCTTTTGACCTAGCAAAGAGAATGCATTCACCTAATCCAAATTCTGTCGTCAATTTGTGTGCTTATATATTATCCTTTAGTGTTCTGTGGGGTAAGGGGTTGGATTAATTTTTCACAAAATGCACATGACTGGGAAGAAATTCCTAAGACATGAGTACCCAATGCCCTGTTGTGCTCTAGGCTACCTATTTACCTCAGGGCTGAGGGAGAACAACAGGTCTTACCCCAAAGCAAGTGTGGTCTTCTCACTTTTGGTTATATTTTTGCTATGTGCTACCACTTAAATATAACTATTGTTTACAGGGTGCATATGTTTAGTATATCACATACCGTCTACTAAATTTTGGAAAATGTAGTCATGTGTTCATGCAAATTATTAATTTTATATATTTTAAAAAGATTTTCCTCAAAATTTGCATCTATTACTTGGCAATCTAAGGCTAATTTCAAAGCAGGTGATGCTGAACTTGTGAGGGCTATGTATTTTCAGCAGTCTGGATCAGTCTTCACGGGCACAGAGAAGAGAGTTGACCATTCAATCATTCTTCCATCAATTTCAACGGAAAAGAAAAAATGTCATTGTATTATAGCTTTCAGACCATAGAATGAAAAAGTGCAGAGATTTTCTTTGTTGATAAAGTAGAACCAAAAAAGTTCATATAAAATAGATTGCTCATATTCACACTACAAAGGAATATGTTGTTTTTAATTTTAACAAATTCAAAGGTGTCATATCAGCAGCATTGTTGTAAATTGTACTGTAGTGCAGTTCTTTTTCATAAAAATACCATACAAATGGTCAATCAATAGTCATCAGCAAAAAATAGAACCCAGATAACTCAGAAAACAATTAACCAGGGAAAAGATAAAGAAAGAGGTAATGCTGATGCCAAAACAAGTATAATACTGTTGGAACATACAAAATTAATCCTTATATTTTATACATTTATACAGCATATAAAAAGTATTTATGCCACGGTCTCTCTGATCCCAATTTCTATTTTCTTTGGAAGCAGTTCTTTCCTTTCATCAACACTTCCTAAGGAGTTTCGGCAGTTTTGCCCATCCATATATAATTTTGCATACACGGGGTTGGAGTAATTTGTTGGCTAAAGAAGAAATAATAAGAAAACACAATTTTATTATCAGTTTTGATCACATTAATTAGTTATTTTCTAGCATGTCTATCTTTTAATGTTAACAACAATTATATACAATACATTTAATTCACTAAATAATAATGATTTAAATGCAATTTAAATTCTGTTTACAGGCATTAGTTGACTTTAGCATGGTATTAGATAAAACCATAATTGTATGTTTTTCAGATAACTTGTGAACCTAACGGGAGCTTTGACATAATATTAAACTCCCAAAGGAATCTTCTTGAAAACTATATTCAGAGACTTTATTTAAAAGCCTAAACATTAAACCAAATTGTCTTATTCCAGTCTATGTGTTTTTCCTTATTGCTATTGCAGTGACAGGAAAGATGTGTTTACAGAAAGTCATCTAATTGCTTGGTGCTTATAATTTTTCAATATGAAGTTAAAAGCAAGAAAACAAAAAAAAAGAGAAGTAAAATACATTGGTGGAATAGACTTTAAAATAAAGATAATATTTTTGCTTCAAACAACCTATACATACTCATCACTGGAAACACTTTTGGACTCCTCCATAGCATTGTGAAGTTCACAATTAAGTTGCATAGATATTTAGAGCATTTTGAAGTAGAATCGAAACATGGAAAAATGATCTTTCAGTTGAAGAATGTATATAAATGTTCATTAATTTACAAACTGCAACTTACCCCATTAAATTATTGCCTAGTGTTTGTTTAGTTTTATCTCTCCAAAAGCAACATTAAATTTTAGTTACAAAAAAGAAACATTATAATCTTTGAGCCATGCAAATGAGACACACATGATAAAAAAATGGGAATGAAAAACAGTTGATGGGAGACTTGATACTCTTATTTTATCCCTCATCTAACATGAATCATGTAACTTTACATAGAAACTACTTAATTAAAAAAAATTAAGAATGGTTTCATTAGACCATTTCTCATTTCTCAATACGATGCCTCATTTTGTAGTATATTTTTATTTAACTAGACATCAAATTATATATTAAAAAAGTATTTTATATGAAATAAATAAAAGCAAACAAATTTAAGTTTAAATTATTCAGTTCAAATTTCTTGCTAGAGATTTATTTTCTAAGAATAGCAAATAGCCATGTTTATTGTTAAAGCTATAACATCTTCAGATTCAGCAGAAGAAATATTTCGACTTAATAACCTGCTAAAACGATAACATGTGTTATATGTAATCTTGCATAGGCAGGACACGTAACATAAGCCACCAATTTTAATGCTGTTTTCAAATCTCTTGTTAATTAAAAACTCAATTACGGGCAAGCTCCTATCTAAATCTAGTAATCATCTTTGATTGTGAGGGGTTCTGTGATGGAATGGATATGAAATAATGAATTTTCTTCTCTCACCCCAGCAGTTAGTGGTCCTTTCAAATCAGAGTTTAGGTAGATGGGCGGCGCTGTATGTGGAAGCTTGAAAGCACTGGACCCGCCCCCTATATACCTGGCCTGTATGTAAACAAAGAATTTTAGTTGCTAATCTAATATCATGGAACTCTTTCATTGATATACACTCATGTTAAGTCATAAAAATAACATTAAAGTACTCTTTAGCCTGGTGCATGAACAGTGTGCTCATGGTCATTTTAATAACTTAAGAACTATTGACATTTAATCTGTGCTTCATAGGTTGACATATCCAGGTTAACTTTATCCTCCTAATGAAATCATACCTTTGCCAGAGCACTGTAAAAAATACCCCAGCCTCTCCCACTTAAGGTTTTGTCTTGGAACATTTCTGACAGTAGCCCATTCTGGACACTCAAATATCTGGCTGCTTCTAATTAAAGATTCATTGCCACTCTATGCTTTTAGGGAAAAATCATTCTCAATTTAATATATCATAAAAACATCTGTATTTTTGGACATCTGACTCTCTAGTCTAAAACAGATTAATTAGCAATTAAATTGGCCCACTAAGTTTCCACACAATTGTATTTGTTTAAAAGTTTCTTGGGTTCCAAGGGCACAATTAGCCAGTCGAGTATACTCTTATTCATAATAGAGTATTTATTGGTGGCCTAAAAATACAAACAAACAAACAAAAAAACTAGATGAAAAGTTCAAGAATATAAAATTATTAATACATACATACATATATATATATATATATATATATATATATATATATATATATATATATATATTTAAAACATTTTAACTATCAACTCAACAATGAATGATCACAAAGTTTGGGACAAAGGTCTGGGATCTCAGAAAAAGTTTTTAAACATAAAATTTGGTCACTATCGCCTTTTTACTTTCCCCCCACAAAGTTCTCATTTAGAAGATATTAAAACCAATCTAAGTAAGGACTGAGATGAACTTGGAGATAATACTAATTCCCTCTTTTGAACTCTTCAAACTGTTCTGTGATTGTCTCCCTAGACAAATCTTTTAAAATTAACTTTATTAACTATTTCATTTCTTTTGATTATAAGGTACCATTAAAGTAGGAATTGTATCATTTTGAAAACAATAAAAATGACTGTTTTACAAAAATCTTCTTTATGTGTAACGCAATTCATATATATTTGGTCACATCATGAATACATCAAACAAACCATTGAAACGCAATGAACACTCTATGAAAAACATTTCAATCTTAAGGTCGCTTCGGTGTGAGCTCCTGCTTTTCAAATTTTTTACACCTATTAGGAATAGCTGTGTTTTCTGCACTTATTTCTTAGGCAACAATTCATATTTACATTTCAAACATTAGAAACCAGCTAGAATCAGCCATTTAAAGCACATTTAATGTAATTTTGGTTAATCAGTCAGCAAATTGGTAAATAAATATTTATTTAGTGTTATGTGCTAAGTACTTTAAAAATATATTTGAGAGGCACTGAAGCATATTTTTATCTTCCTAGAGCAAATGTGGAATTTTTTTTAAATGAAGTAAAAAAGCTATTCTCTTTAAGTGTCCAAAATTGGCTTAATTCCATCACTAGAAATTAAAATGAAGGGGAAAATGAGAACTCTCCTCTTTATGAGAGTGTGCTTTAGTATGTCCCGATCAGATCATATTATACTTACAGACACTGTATTTTTATTCCTAAGAAAAATTCAAAGAATATATTATTTAAGATGTCTTTCTCCTCCATAGATAAATTATCAAATAACAATGTGTACAGTATATATAGTCTTTCAGTTACAAGTAGAAAAAGTAAAGCTTAGATTACAAAGATTTATTTCATGAACAATTTCAAGTGTAGGAGTTAGTAACTGAACTAATAATGAATAGTAATTATCTAATTAGGAAAAAAAATCACTATAATATCTCTTGATAAAATTTATCCATGCAATAATGATTGATTTCTTTTCATAGAAATGAATACCTGATCATCAATTTCAGGCTTAGACAATTTGACTATGGGCTCATAACGAGATTAAATGTATGGGACTGGATTCAACTTCTTTGGGAACAGCTGTTACTATGAGTGCAAAATCATTTGAATGTAGATTAGTCACTGTGATTAACTTATAATATAAAGATGTATTTTGGACAAAGTACTTTTGATATATTAGAAAATAAATATTCAATAAATTAATGAATAAGCTAAGAAAAATCATTCCATCAAAGCAAATTGATACTCTAAATTCATAGCAAAATATCTTATAATTATCATGCACAATATTTAGATAGTATAGTGAAGTGAATCTTTTCAAGTTTATCTAGATAATTGTATCATTTATCTAACTCTCTTAAGAGGAGTCAATCTGAGCACTCAGTAATGAGAACTTAAAAAAACCCCAAAAAACATTAAGGGCCAGTGGAGTGGCTCAATTGGTTAAGAGCTCGCTCAAGAGTTTGAGCTCTGAGCAACAGCAGTTTGAGTCCTGGCCTGAGCTGAACTGCCGCTAAACTGCCAATGCGTGGCAGGATGGCACAGTCAAAAACAAACAAAAAAAACCAACAGATTTTTATAGTACATGTATGAATCACATGTCTTAAATCAATAGGAAAGTTATGATAGCACATAGAAAAATATTTTTTAAAAGTGATTTTATTACAAACAAATCCTTCAATGAAATACTTTGAAAACAAATTACTTATTTTTACAATGAAGTATAGTACTTTTTATTATTAAAAAATTTTTCAGACAGTATTTTTATACTAGGCTGTATATTTAGATATGCCGGTGTCTCAACACATTTGAATAAGATATTATTTTAAGTAATCTATATATGCTTATAAATTAAGTGAATAAATAAATATGTGTTTTCCAAAACATGTTATATTAACTTCATGCTTCAGGTGAATACAGTCCAAAATTTTATTTCTTTTTCAGAAGAGACAATAATTTTCAGTGAACCCTAAAGTTCTTTGCTATAACTTCAGATAAAAGAAATGCTGATGAAATTCAGAACCATATTGCAGAAATGTAACTCAAGAATGTCAGTGCTCACTGTCCCTTATTGTAAAACATATTAATTACCTTTGTTGGGTCTATCATAAAACCAGGATCTAAAAGACCTCCATCGTTGTGGTCATGATCCACCTCATACATATTATAAGATGGATTGCCAATTTCTACATTTATTCCTCCATTGATAATAGGTTGTCTTCGAATAGTTTTTGTCCTAGAATATGTGAACATTAATATAAATGCGAATTGTTTAAATACCACAATCATGGTGTATGAAACTATCCTATTTGTAGATTTATTGACTTATTTTACTATAACTAATGGTAAGTTCATAAATAAAATTCATTTAAAATAAATGACATTTATCAAGTCACAGAAGAACAAAAATGTCTTAATGTGATGTTAATTTTCAAAATTATTTAGATTTAACAATAAAAAATGCTCTTGAAACATATTCCTCCTAAATATCTAATACCACATTACTTGAAACTGAATAGCCACTAATCAATTATCTTTATACAGTCTACTTTTCCCCTTTCTTTTTGTAAACAATCCCTAAAAAATAGTGATAAGGAAACTTTGAAATAGACTTTTCCAAGGCCTAAGTCACATAGCTAAAATCCTCTTTTTGCATAATTCAAACACTGACTTACAGATTCTTGGTTCTGGATAATACCCCACAGACAACCCAATTCTTTTGGCTCTTTATTACTCCATATTCATATAAATTGAAATAATGACACTACTAGTAATATATAACATAAACAAATGCACAATTGTGAATGAAATGCACAATTTCGGCTATGTAATACATATTCAGTATGATTGTATTGCCATTACTAATCTTACACATTAATAAAATAAGATCCTTTTCAGATGTTCTTGCTTGCGGTTTCCAGTAAAAAGTATCACAAATGTAAAATTCTACTAAAATTTTAATTAATTTGTCTCCTTGTTAGTTTTTTTAGAATATAGAAATGGAGCCATTCCATCACCACGACACGGGGAAGAGTTGTCTGAATTATAATCACTCTAAATGAAATAGAGGGATAAAATGCTTTGAGAAACATAGGATTTTAGATAAAATGTTTTAATTCATTTTGAAAAATCACTATGTTTCTGTAACTCTGTGTGTAATTTATTTACTTAGTCTAGAACATTGCCTCTTACCTTCTTTTTCTTTTACAAAGCACTAAACCAATTACTAAGGTGGTTATCAAAGTCACCAAGAGAACCAGAGGCACAATGATGGCGATGCTTCCTGAAAAAGAAATGAATGAATAGATGAATGCATCAAGTGCAGAAAAGGTTGCTATAACTAAACACTTTCACACCAAATCACTTGACCATTGATGTAATAAAAGTAAAACTCAGGCCAAAAGTCTATATTCCTAGTTCATAAGTCCATTACAGAAATTTCACTCTCCTATTAAATTCTTCATGGGCTAGAAACATTTCTTTAGATATCTTTCACATATATGTTGCAATGAAATATTCTGAGGTTAGAAATGCTGACTTCTTTGCCAATTTGTCTGAATCTCACCACACATTTACTTGCAATGATGTAAGTACATGCTGGTAACTCCCTTGTAAATCAACCATGATTAAACACACATTTACACAATTTCACTGGCCACATTCCCACCCTTAGTTTGTTCCTTTAGCTATAAAATACTCTCTGGCCAGAAGTACATGTGGCAAGTTAGATGGAAGCCTGTCAAAACAAAAGGGACATCAGCGTTAAATTTGTATGGACATAAGCCTAAATACATTTCACAGCTTACTAGAAGTAAGACCTTAGATAGGTTATTTAAAATTTGAGTCATGACACCTGAATATTATTTAGCCATTGACATATTAAAAAGTAGTTTTCAATATGATATTAAATAAAGGAATTTTTAAAACAATAAAAAATCATTTTTTTAAAAATTGAGGCTCATGGTTTTCACCAACGAAACAGAGACGAGAAGACCTATATGGGGCTGTTAGCTTGATTTAAAAAAATGACAGGGGGTGAGGGAGCAATATGGATTTTCTTTCTCAAGGTCCAGTTTTAAAATAGTGTCAGAAAAACATACCTGTGGGGTTTGGCTTATGTTAAAAATGACCATTTTTTTCCCTTTTTAAAATGTACTGATAAGAGTAATCTTAGGCTGTATCACATGTCTTCAAAACAGAATAAAAGATCTATGGACTAGACCTTTAGAAGTGGTCAGAGAAACTGATTATTAGCTTTCAAGCATCTGAACATAAGGAGAAATGAAATGGAGGAGAATCTGTGCCCTCCATTTCTAGGTTGGCAATAAGAGCAATCAACTTTTTTTCCCCAAAGAAGGAGATAACACCTGCTGATAATGTGATCCACAGGAAGATGTACCTAGGGTCATATGTCACTTATGCAGGAACAAACTGAATGCCAAGTGTTGCCTGATAACAGGCGAGTGTTAAGTAGCTCTGTCAAGTACCTAATGTTAACTTTTTCTTTATTTTTTTCTTTATTTATTGCTTGCTTGCTCTTCTTCTTCTTTTTTTTTACAAAACAATATAATAGTTATACATTTCACCCCCCACAAAGTGATAACACCCCCCTCCCCCCAATCTATTGCCCCTCTGATGTCATATGTATCTATTACACTTCCATTGACTCTATTCCCTATACTATACTCCATATCCTGTGGCTATATATATAAATGTTACCTTTTTCAACACACAAATATCTAATGCCCATGAGACAAAGGCTTTCTTTATTTGAAATAAGCATCCAGTTGATTCAGTCAAGTCAGCTTAATCACTGGTTAAACTAAGAAACAAAGCAACCCCAAAACTAATTGAAATTTATTGTGAGGATCTTGAATGCTTTGGGAATGAAACATTAAGAATTATTAAATATTTGAATTTTCCTCTGCAAATACTTGTGCATGTAAAAACACACATGTGGTAGAAATGAATGGTAATATTAAGCACAATAAGCAGTGGCTTAGGTTCTTTAAAATAGAAATAAAAGTCAGTTTTAAAAGCTCTAGCCAGAAATGACCTGTGTGAGATATTCCATAGTGGAGATTACTTACCAAAATACCAAAAATTCTTTATTAAGAAAATGTCATGTATAAGATAATCTGTCAGTATAAAACGTAAAGATAACTTGCTTAAAATAACCAAATAAACATCTTTTCCATGCAAAATAAAATATGGCTTGCCTTCTTTAGTCAGTTTCCAAAATTAAAAACTCGTTTTAATTTTTCATGTTGCTATCATACCAGGACCATACAACTTAGTGAGTTTGATATTATATATAAACATAGTTTTAAGAAAGTAAACTTTATACGAATGTGTAATTTATTAGTAATTAATGACAGTAGAGAATCTGGTACCTTGGATAATAATGAATATTTGTTTACAAATTTTAAATACCAGTTAACAGCTTGTTTCTTCATAAAGTATGACTTTAACTGATTGAGCAAGGCTTTATAAATATCCTCACTTCATTATCATTTTTTTCTGCTAATATTTGTGACAAATTGGTAGGTATAAAATACGTACCAATATTGGTTTTAAAGTATAAAACGTTACTTTCCTCTCAATGCAACTGTATATTACTTAGAAAATTAGATTTCATTTGTTCTACGTAGTATCTTTTACTCTGTGAGGTAGAAGTGCTGTCAATAACACATGCTAGAAAACAAAGAATGTCCTTTTTCTTCTTTCTTCCATCACAGATGGCAGTTCCAATCCTTTAGATTACAGTACTTTGTTAAAGAGCCTAGATTTCTAATATGTTTATATAACCAATCAAGGTAACTGCAATAGTGTTTAAAGTTGCCATTAATAATGCAGAGTAGCAATTTGGCAAGTTATAAAAAATTTGTAAAACAGTTTATATCAGTGGAAATCATTGGCAACCACATACATACTTTTAGAATCTTAAGATAGGTATTTATCAAAATAGGTATATTTTTCTAAGTAGAATATATAGCAGTGAATATAATATTGCAACATATAATGGTCATATTGCAGGTGGTTTTTTAGCAGTACATTATTGGTGGGTTGTTTTAAAATTATTTTTAAAAGTACAGTCTGTACTTATTAAGGGTTGAGAGGAAATTGCAACAACCTTCTCATATAAAATAGAGCAAGTCTTTCCTTGCAACATTGTTCTGAAGCCTCATTATGCAACATGTTTTCATTAGAGAAAAGAACTGTATTATGAAATTGTTATGTTCTAGAGACCACTTCCATGAGAGGCAGCATAGTCTAACAGTTGAGATTATAATCTCTGGAGCCAGGCTACCTCTGTTCAAACCTTGAATTACTGGCAACATATCCTTAGGCAAATTATTTACCTTTTTCTCAGTTTAGACATCTATACTGAGTGTCATCATTAATATCTTCCTCATAGTAATATAAATAGGATTATCTTAATTCATAGAAAGTGATACATATATATTAATTCAAAATATATATTGCCATAGGATTCTGTGCATACTGCTGTTCTGCACTTTTTCACAATATATTGTAAAAATCAGTTTATTTGTAATTTGAGGGCATAAAGTGTTTATCTCTCTGTTTTGCAGATAGCGCAGTGCCTAAGATATCATACAGACTAGACATTCAATTCTTATTTAGCAAATATACTTTAAATGTTGCTAGTCTCAGACATTCAACATGCACTCTGCTTTGCAATGGGGATACCAATGTCCCTCCTGTCATGTTGTTTGATGTATATCAGAAAATGACAAGGAAATGGGTTTATTTAACATGGTGTGATAAGCCCTAGCCTAGGGGAAGTATACATTACTCTGAAAATATAAAGGAGGAGACTCCAACTAGATCTGGGATAGAAGAGGACCGGATGTCTCTGAGGCCAGAGGGATGAGCCCTCTTTAGTCCTATGAGAAAGAATTCAGGTCAAGTAGGAGGAGGAGATATTTAATTACTCTAGGAAGAGAAACGTGAAGACTTGGAGGAGGAATGATTAAGGAACAACAGCCTGGCAGAAGAACAGAATGGAGAGTGGTGGAAGGAGTGATGGCTGTAGCAGACAGCCAAGGTGATGTTCTGGGGGGCTGTGTAAGCCATGTAAATGAGCTGGGCATTTGTACTATTTAAAAAAAATGGTGAGGTTGAAGAAAATTTAGGAGGTAATATCTACTGGATATATTGTTTGACTTGACTTGAGAGAGAGGGAGCATTGAGAGCAATACGTGAGTGTTGTTTGGGTAACCAGGTAGACTTTTCAGTCATCCACATACACAGGAAGGCAGAACAAGGTGCATGAAATTGGCTGGTTGAGTAGCAGAAGGTGATGGGATATGTTGAGCCTGAGATTCCTGTGGAATACACATATAGGCATAGATACAAATATAGATGTAGATTCAGATATACATATACATACACATATATATGCAGCAATTGTTCAGTGGGATATTTGTCTCATACTCAGGAAAGAAGCCAGGATTGAGAACAGTAATTTAGGGGTAATTAACATAAAGTTGATAACAGAGGCAAAGGAATTACTGATTGCCAAGGAAGGGTGTATGTAGTGGTAACCTGAGAGTGAGAGAACCAGAAAGGGGAGAAAAAAAGCATCTCACAAAGAAGACATTATTGCTTCAAGAGAGGTAAGAAGGAAACCGGAACAGTTCAGTATCATGGAGGTCAAAGGAAGAGAACCTTTTGTTTACTTGCTGAATTTATAGCAGAAAATTATAAGTTATACCATTACAACTGATCTCTTTTGTCATGTTGCTATATATTCTCTTAAGCTTATGTTTACATGAAGAAAATATCGTGTTCCAACTTAGTAAAAGTGATCTGGCTTCTCATGACCTTTAAGAGGCTATCTATCATCTTGGTCCTGTATATTCACTCTCACTTTGTACCACACTACCTCATGTCCCCTGATGCTAGCACATTGGTCTTCTTTCATACCATTCTAGGGCTTTTGTACCTGTGGTTCCATGTTTGAAACACCCTGATCCTCTCCACTTCTTTTTAATCCTTCAAGTCTCAGCTTAAGTATCACCACCTCAGAGAAATAACTCCTGACCTCAGGTCTCTCTGCCATTGCCTATATTTGCCTCTTTTTGGCTTCCTTCACAGAGTCAATCAAAACTCACAATTATTTTATGAGTCACATGTTTGCTAACTTGTATGCTTCCTTGTTTAATGGCTATCTACCTTTTCAGAACCTCAGCTTCACGAAGAGTCTTACTCACTGACTTATCTCTGGGATCTTGTACAGTACTTGGCACTCAGTAGAGGCTTGATACATATTTGTTTTGGGATATTTAGGACAGGCATTATATTGCTGCATTTTTCAGTTATCTCTCTATATTTGCAAATTTATGATTTGTTGGTATCACATAATTACTGTTCCTATCTGTTTTAAAACATGATGGTATAAAAGAGATAGGAACAAAGTAGGAAAAGAGGAGAGACACAAATAACCCCTTAATAGATATCAGATCTGTTTTCATTACAGTAAAATACAACATCTCTATATTACTGCCACACAAATGCTGAGTACATTTTTATCCTCCTCAATTTTAAAACACATAACAGCATAACTCAAACACTGAGTGTCCACTCCCTTTAAAATTTATGTAAATTTAAAATAGGAGTATAGAATGAGGACTTTATCATCTTTAGTTTAAACCTCTTCAAAATAATTTCAGAAGAGTCAGACTAGCTTTTTCAAGTGGAACCCTTCTATGCAGGCAGTCATAGGATAATAGATCTGCTTAATTCTACAGGCTGAGTTATAGATACTTTAAACAGAAAGGGACAGAAAACATTGGTATGACTACTCAGCGATGATTATGAAAGCTGTGCATCATTTAGAATGGTAAATCTCTGTGCCAGTTGACAGTAGTTAGGCTGACAGAAGCACTATATTCTTGATTATTCCAAGGTCCAATGATTATGGAATGCTTCACAGTAAACAGAACTGCAGATCAGAAAACATATTCCTAAAGTATCCATCTTCCTTACTGGGCAAATGACTTCTGTCTAACTTCAGGGAACATTTAATAACCATTTAAAACCACTGGACTTCACGAGAGAACACAAATGACCCTCCTACCTTAGGAAGAATCAGTTTAACTATCCTTTCTCTTTCCAGAGTTCTTGGGGGAAGTTTCTCCAAGCACAAATGCCTGATGGTAAGTACCTTCTAATGAAGTCATTATTTGGTCAACTTTGCTCAAATCTGAGATAATATGACATTCATATAGCTAATAATCCTTTCAATGTGCATTGATACTTCCATTAAATTTAATTACTTTATTCAGGGAAGGAAAGACGAGCATCAGAGTCTTTGGAAAAGGGGTTATAACTACTTGCAACTCCTTATCTTACTTGATGCTCCCTGCTTTAGAACTGTTGCATGTAATTAGAGGCATTTCCTTATAAGGGAGCTTGTTGCCAATGAAAATAGTTGGAGATGTCAGCCTCCAGTCTGGCACACACCTCCTCTATACCATTTTCCAAATCCCAAACTTTCCCATTTGAACGATTTTATATAAAAAAATGAAAATTCAATTGACATTATACTATGTTTCCTTCTTGCTTTTCAGAGAGTTTTTAATCAAAATTTAAAACTGTTTTTGACTCTCTAAAAGGCTATGCATCTCATTTATCTTAGATAATTGAGAAGTTACCACATAAGAAATGCTAAAGTACCTTGTTTTTACAATTTTCAACTTATAAATTCAGTGTGTTCTACAGGTTGATAACTTAAAATGCATTTCTCATTAAACAATATTCTTAATAATGGTTGAGTTTTATGAGTATATCACAAATTCATATGTTAATTAGTATGCTTCAAATTTATTATTGGTAATATTAATATGAGCCCTAGATCCTGGGAAAAGAAAGGAGGAATTTTTTTTTCTTTTCTTCTTCTTTTGTAATAGCAAATTGGGCAAGGTATATTTTGCCACCTCTACTATTTTTTATGAACAAATTTTCCAAACCTTAGTTCCTTATTTCTACAATTATGTGCACATAGCTTTCTTAAAGCCTTCTCTTGGTCCTTTTCGAAGAACAACACACATTCTAGGGTAAAGCCAAAATGCTCCATGACCAAAGATGACTCACTTCATCTGTTCAAATTCAAATATTCATGCCTAGGCTATTTATTCTAGACCGATTTGCCAATTTTCAAAGATGCTTATGTTTATTAGCTCAAATTAATTTCTAAATGCTATGACTTTGGACAATGTTGCTTGAAGAATTTCAAGGAATGATATAAAAAACTATTTGGGGGCATGAGCAATAAACAAGACCAGCAAACCCTGGAAGCCTGTACCTAGGTTACCAAAATTTGTATGCTTGTATTTTTTACTTTGACTGTGTCTTTCCTCTTCCACAAACTCCATAGTGTAGTTTGTTTTGTGAGAACTTTCTCATCGGCAGTGAAGGGCTACAGTAAAATTGCTTAAGTAAGCATTCGTTAGTCAGGGAGGTTATTTTTTTCTCTTCAAGAATATATTTACCCACTTGGTGGATATTACAAATTTTACAAAAGTTCACCAGTGATGGCCAAATTAATAACAATATGCGTGAACTGAGAAAACTTATTTCAGGCTTCTATTTTGCAGATCTTCATAAAATCACTTTAAAGACAAAGAAGCAATAAATCAACTATGATGTTTATGAAGAATTGCTTATTAACATACTTCACTTTAAAACTAACCAATCAAGTCTGCTTTTCTACAACACATTGAAATACATTTTAAGAAAATACATTTTACTCTCATTAAAACGTGAAATTATTTTTCTTCCTTGAGTGTTCTCACTCCCATTGTGATATCTGCTGCCTTTGTAGCTGACGTACATACATTTCCTAAAAATAACTTATGCTAGGTTTGCAGATGTGCTAAGAAAACTGCCAAAGTTTGAGACTCACTGCCTAAAAGAAAATATAAATGCTGGATCCTGCACCAGCTGAGAGCTCAGAGCTTCATCTTTCAAAAAACACCAGGACGGCAGTAGATCTCTTGCAAAATTCCATGACGCAGATTTTCCCAGAGTCCATTCCCTCAACAATCACGTAAAAAAAAGAAAAGAAAAACACTTCTATACTATGTAGAACACCCAAGATATTAATCTGAGGAACTTACTTGTGCTGATATGATCAGACTTGCTGCTCTTTGGGGCTGGCCTCTCACACTGTGTGCCAGACCAGTTGGTGGAACATCTAGGAATATAAATAAATAAATAAATAAATAAATAAATAAATAAATAAATAAATAAAACGCACACAACACACACACACACACACACACACACACACACACATACACTAGTGACTAATAACCTACAAGTCTGCTAATGTAGTAACTTAAACCAAATGAAATGAAGGAGCCAGCCATCACAGATTAATGGATGTTAGGTAAAGATTTCCACTAATTTCCTATATATTGTCAGTATGCTGAAGGCAACTTCAATTGGACTTCACTTATTTAAATGCTTTTTAAAATTTAGTTTTATAGTCATTTTGCTCTCTTCTACGTTAAACTAAAAATTGCCACATTTTATAGAAAAATGGGAATCTTAAGAATTGGTAATTTGAGAAGTACTAAAAATTACAAGTAGCCATGATAATAATTAAGCTTGCCTGTCAAGCAAATCCTCCTTTATTAAGTTTCTGTAATTTAAAAGCAAAACAACAATACAAAAACTTTTTTTTTCTGGTTGTTTTAAGTCCAAAGTGGGGCTACCAACCAACCAGTAAATGGACATAATGTGTCATAATTCAAGCTGCAGGATGTTTATTCTCCTAATCAGAGTTAGGAAAATATAGTGTTTTCCCAGTTAAAATCATAATTCTATTACCATAGTATCAAGAAAATGTGCCCAAATTTTTATTAGGAAGAGTTGTCTTCCTCATATAGGCAACATTACACTATGATGAGAAGTCTAGCAAAGGATTCAAATAATAGCGCTGATTAAAATCCATTATTTAAACATTAATCACAACCATATAATTAGCTACTTGCATCAAATAAATGCTGGAATGGTTTAGCTATGTTTGAACAACGTCTGTGGGCTCACACAAGATGCCTCTGTGCATCTATCAGAGAAAATTCACAGAGCAACTATTTAACTGGCTTCAGTTCTTATTTAAAATGACTGTCAAATACCACCACATCAACAATAGTTGTACACAGCAAAAGAACACATTCCAGAACCATTCCAAGTAGTATATCTTTCTGGGCATGATGGCCAAACTAAAGAGCTGCAATTTCAAGGTCTTTGCCAATTCTGTCTTAGCCAATTCAGATAGCTGAACCTGTTTTCAGAACTAGGCTTCTATAATGCCATGTGAATTATTTGCAATATTCATGAAGACAGTATTGGCTGCTCGAATACATGAGCAACATCTCATGAAATTATCATTGCTGACAAACTCAAATCATGAATAAAAGCATATATTAACTTCAGCATAATTGACAATATTGACACTGTTCAAAAATATAGTTATTGATTAATAATAATATTATAAATCTATGAGTATGGAGCATGATTTAAATGAAAATTAATATTATTATATTATGATTCGGTCATCACATACATTATCCTAACATTATGTTCAGATTCTATTCTTTATAAAAAGCTTACATACATATTTTCTACACATCATTTATTACATACCATACTACAAATAAATCATTAAAGTAGATAAATAAATTTCAGGGCCAAGTCTGTGACTCTGTCCATATTACTGTAATGAGTTAATGAAATACGCACATTTTTCAAATAATTATAATAAAGCAAACAATCATTAAAATCATTGATCTTTTAGAAATCATTTCTTTTTTTCCTCAGTTGTGGTTTTTCAAATGAATGATCTAGAAAATTGTTCCAATTCTTCACAGTTTCTAATTCTTGACACAGTCCACAGACAATTCAAAATAAAATGTTTAGTAAGACTTTGCAAATGTGTTGCTAGAGTGAATTCTGATCACTGCAAAATTCTTGTTTTATGTAGCTTTACATTTGTCAATTCTTCCTAATTGACCACTAAGAATGTTTTACATGCTCCAATGAACAAAAGATGCTACTGGTTACTCTAGTAATTTTATTATATAGTTGATGTGTACAATTATTTTGTGGAATTATATTGAATAAAACACCAAAATTTGCTATTTACATTACCTTTTTTGATTAAAAATAAATAAATCAGGGTTCATGTTAAATGAGAGGAATGACCTGAGATGCATTTTGTTATGTTATTAAGGATGAAAATTTCTGGGGATCATCATTACACTGAGATGCTTGGAAGTCATAAAATGAAATTGCTCAGGAATTGGAGGGTTGAATGCCAATTGATCAGATTGTGTTTTGATACCAAAATCATGTCTTTTAAGTACTTTAGATATTTATGAAATATATGAATTTGGGACTTAAAAAGAGTAGAGAAAATTAAAAAAAAAAGATGAGGATAGTGTGATTCTTATTCCAAACTCTGGAATTATTGAAGCAGTACAATTGGTATTTGTTAACAGTATTGATTAATTTCCTATTTTATCCATAGCTTGGAACCCAGGATTTATAACAGATAAATCACCTGCCAGTGCATATATTCCCTTCTCTTTTAAATGGAGGCACATTGAAATTCCTAAAATTGAGGGAATATATTACTTATTACATACTGGAAATAATTCTCAAAGAGACTGTGCTGAAGAAGTAATTCATTTTAAGTTATACATCTTAATCAGCTGATGATCACCTTGCAATGATCCCCATACTCCTTATTAAATAATGTTTTATGGCCAAAGATAAAATAAGATATGTTCCACTGTTCTACATTTGTTCCAACTTAAAAGATACTCTCTTTTAAGATATTAAATCAAATAGAAATCATCATTCTTGTTGCCTACCTTACAAAATTACTACTTAAGGCATTTGCTGCTCCACAAGTTCTTCCAATGGTTGATTTAAGACTGAGCATTTTTATCATCTTTATAGAAATTCATAAATCTTCATATTCTGAGTAGACTACAATGATCAAAGCCATTAATAGCAGAGCATTCAAGAACTGGAATGTGTGCAGATCATTAAATTGTCTGTTCAAATCCCAACTGACTTATTTGCATAATCATGCTGACTATAATATCTCTGGCATCTGTCTCTTTTTCATTATTCCTCAAGCAAAATCCATAGTCCATGCCCTGGCCATCTTTAAACTGCACTGCTACAATCCACTGTTCCTGCTATTCATCCTTGGACACTTATTTTCAAGTTAGTCCTATATGGCCCTCTCAAGAAATTTTTTTTTCTTACCATCATAAACATCTGCATATCACTCTTTTAAAACTTATTCTACAGTTATTTCCCACTGCCCTTAATCTGAGGACAGTGAAAAATCAGCTTCTTCTTGTATGTTGATCACTATACCACTCTGAATTATTTAACCTTTTAAACACTTCAATGAATTTTAACTAAGTATTGTTGGATAATGGAAAGACAGACAGACAGATAGATAGATAGATAGATAGATAGATAGATAAGATAGATACATTTTTATTTTGTTAAACAATTGTTTATCATTCTTTCTTAACATCATCGTATGAAGACATTGCTCCTAGTAGTTTCTTTTTTTTTTTTTTAAGATTTTTATTGGGTAATTGGGGGGATGGGAACAGTGATGGGGAATTGGGGGAAGGGGAACAGACAAGTTGCTGTCGTT